TTCTGCCTGAATTCTGGCCTTCCTGCATCTCTACTTCGTGTGAGTATGTGACCTAATCCATGTCCCCTTGGTGTCCCTAAAGTCCCTGGGAATGGTGTCTGAAAGAGAGAACACAGGATGTGGAAGATTGCCAAGAGCCATGGGTGGCCCTGTAGGACATCAGAGCACGGAGACATCACAGGCCCAGCTTCTCTAATTCTCTGTCCTTTGGATTCAAGTCCCAGTTCCCAAACATGTGAGCTCCAATGGCTCACTGGACTCTCCGCTGACCCTGGACCTCCTGAGCTGAGTTCCACAGCTTCATGGGGACCATCTGGCCCTGTCAGGGAGTCCTGATGCTGAATCCTGCCCTTGGCCAACCCTCTGGTTCAGCCTGAATCAGAACTGGAGAGGCAGCTATTACTGCCACCTAAGAACTCAGAGTCCCAGCTGAGGCCAGATGAGGGACATAAGGCAGAGAAAGCCCAGAGCAGACCCCAGCCTTATGGTGCACATGACCTGACACTTGAGACCTGGAGGGAACTAGGCTGATGGGAGGGCAAACCCCTCTCCCCTTTATATCCCTTTCTACCAGCAACAGGGCCACAGGCTGGACCACCCTGCTTGAGGGGGGAGCTGGGACCAGTGTTTATGCAACTGTGGGGAGGCCACAGCCCGGCTGGCAATGCTGCCTGCCCAGCACCGGTGCTGACTCAGCAGAGCCTCCCAGCACGTCCACCACAAACACACAGACAAGCATAGTCACACACAGAGGCAAACATACATGTACGTATGCACAGATAAATGAGCACACATGTACCCATATTCTCAGTCATTCATGCATACAACATGCATAAGAATACACTCCCACACACACACGCACACACACACACACACACACACACACACACACACACACACACACAGGAACATACCAAAACACACACACTGTCTCCACAACTAGATACACTGGATAATGGTGAACAAGGTGAAGGCTGACTTAAGCAGCTAAGTGTCACCTCCCCTGGGCTGGGGTCCTATACTGAATACAAAAGAGAAAGAGAATGGAGCACTGCCATTCAGCTCTCTTGTTCCCTGACTGTGGACACATGTGACCTCATAACAATGATGCCACATGACGGACTGAACTCTCAAAGTGTGAGCCAGAACAAACCCTCCCTTCCTTAAGTTACATTTGTCAGTATATTGTCACAGAAGCAAGAAGAGTAGTGACTAATGCACTCCCCAAACCAGACTCTACCTTCAACAGCCCTAGTATGCCCCGCCTGACCTTTCTACACAGGAAGCCCAGAGGGGCAGGGCCGCTGTGTCATGGAGAAACATGTAAGATGCTCCCCGCTCCCTCCCACCACCAAGCCAAGGCTATCTCATGGAGATGGGGGGTGAGGGATGAGGGCTTGGAGATCTAGGGAATTTGGAGGTACCAGATGAGGAGCAGACTTTCTTGGAGTAGGCCACTTCTTGCCTCCAATTGATTAAAAGCAGTGCATTTCCTGCTCAGGACTCCTCCCCAAGGTGGACTCCACCAGCAGGAAGATGCCGAGATCACCCAACCAACCCAGTCCTGTGCAGGGTCATCCATCCATGTACCAGAATTCTCTTCCTCATAAGACTAGCTGAGTCAGGTATGATGGCACACACATGCAATTCCCATTCTGAGGAGGGTGAGACAGGAGGATTACCACAAGTGTGAGGACAGCCAGGACTCCCTAATGAGTCTTGATTTTAAAAAAGAAAGAAAGAATGGGCTGGAGAGATGGCTCCATGGTTAAGAACCCTGGCTGCTCTTCCAGAGGATCCAGGTTTAATTCCCCAGCACCCACATGGCAGCTCACAACTGTGTGTAACTCCAGCTCCAGGGAACCTGACACCCTCACACAGACATACATGCAGGCAAAACACCAATGCACATAAACTAAAATAAATCATTTTTTCAAGAAAGAAAAGACGGAGTGATTCAATTTAATAGTACTTGCCTAGCAAATGTGTGGCCCTGGGTGTGATCCAGTACTGCACTATTCCCTTGGATGTTTACACGGCAATTTGTCCATCATTCCACAGTGAGTTGTTTCCAGCTTGGACTATTTGTGAACGATGCTGCCAAAAAGGCGGAAGCAAATTATATATTTGAGATCCTGTCCTTAATTTGAGAGTGCATATATTCAGAATTGGAAGTATGTCCTGTGATAACCGTGTGTGTGTGTGTGTGTGTGTGTGTGTGTGTGTGTGTGTGTGTGTGTGTGAGAGAGAGAGAGAGAGAGAGAGAGAGAACTGCTATTTTGTTTGCTGTAATGACTGCTTCGTTTTACTCTGCCACCAATACACAAGATTCTCATTTCCCTAACCCTCACTATAACCTTTCTATAGCAAAGGGTGGCTGATGTAGTTTATTATTTGTTTGATTGCTCTGTTTTGATCTGGTTTGGAGTTGTTTTTTTGTTTTTAAGATGATTTCACTATGTAACACAGGCTAGCTTCAAACTCCACAGCAATCCTCTGGCCTCAAACTTCCAAATGCTAGGTTACAGTTTTGATTTGCCTTACTCTAATGATTAGTGGCATCTTGACTCAGATAAATAAATAAATGTGAATAATGGGTTGGAGGGAAAAGAGCACTTACTGCTCCTGCATAAAGTGAGGTTCAGTCCCCAGAACCCACTTGGTAACAACTATCTGTAACTCCAGGTCTAGGAAATCTGATGCCTCTCTTTTTTTGGCCTCCATGGCTAACAGGCATACACACAGTGCACATATATACATACAGGTGAAACACTCATACACCTAAGATAAAAATAAATAAATAAATAAATAAATAAATAAATAATTTGGGGGGGTTCATAACAGTGTTTTTTTGTGTAACTCTGCCCCTGGAACTCACTCTGTAGACCAGGCTGGTCTCGAACTCCCTCTGCCTCTGCCTCTGCCTCTGCCTCTGCCTCTGCCTCTGCCTCTGCCTCTGCCTCTGCCTCTGCCGGGATTAAAGGTGTGTGCTACCACTGCCTGGCATTAAATAAATCTTTTTTTAATGTGTATGCTATTCCACTGTATAACGCATGCCAAGCATGGGTGGGGTGGGATGGGGTGGTGTGACGAGTTCCATCCTAGAACCATTTTGCTGGTTGGTTCATTATTTGGATATCTTCAGGGTTTTTTTTTTTATCACATTTGTTTGTATTGGAATGGATGGTACATATGTACCACAGCACATGTGTGGAGGTCACAGGACAACTTTCAGGAGTTGTTTCTCTCCATGTGGGTCCCAGGGATCAAACTCAGGTCACCGTGCTTGACAGCAGACATCTTTAGTACCGAGCCATCTCAGCAGCCCCAATGCATATCTCTTTTAAATTTTATTTCAATCTTTATTTTAGTAGTAGAGGTTGAACCTTGGGCCTTGTAGAAGCACTCTATCCCTGAGCTTCATGCCCAGCCCCATGTCTATCTTTTTGGGTTTTTTTTCCAAGAGAGAGTTTCTCGCTGTAGACCTAGCTGGTCTCAAACTCACAGAGATCCACCTATCTCCGTCTCCTGAGTGCTGGGATGAAGCCACGCGCCTCCACGCCTGCTGGTGTCCATCTTCTTTATAGGTGTTTACTCAGGTCCTTTGCCCAGTTTTTAATCAGATTGTTTCCGGGAGGGGGAGTGATTTATAGGAGTTCTTTACATACTATGAATATTAGCTCCTGTCCTTCAAATCTTTGTCACTCTCATATAATCCCTGACCTCATCATTTACAAGGCAACCAACTCCCAACTCCGTCCCTCCTGCCCTCTGCTGCCCACTTCAGTCACAATGCTCCCACGTTCGCACGCGCGCGCGCCCACACACACACACACACACACACACGCACACACACACACACACACACACACACACACACACACACACTTCTAGCTCTTTCCCAACTTTCAGGGCCCCCTCAGCCTCCCTTGTCACTTGATCCTCAACAGACAGATCTGGCATGCCTGCTGTGTGTGGGCTCCACACACAGAGCTCTGCACTGCTCTGCCTGGCACTATGTCCCCAGTGCCTGGAACAGAGCCTGACACACGGCAAGTGCTCAGTGAAAGGTTAAATATTTTAACACAGAGAAAGGTTAAAATCGGAAGCAGCAACAGATTTCTGTGACACACTGACACCCTCTCTCTCTCACACACACACCCTTATACACATATCTGCATGCCTTCACAATCTTTACACACTCAGACTGCACGGCTGCCGTACCAACACCCCCAGGCAGCCTGACTCACAGGGCCTTAGAGCCTGCTCTCGAACACACAATCTGGACCTTGTATACAGACACACTTACAACAGGCCATGGCAATCAGCCTTGATGCGTCTGTCCTGAGCTCCTGGGTACCTCTGGTCCTGTGGGCTTTCTTAGCCCTGTATAGTCCAATCTCCCTATGACCCCTCCATTTCCAATCTCCAGGTCTTGCACCTCTCTATGGAGTGTTGGTTTTCCTGCCCATCAAACCTATGAGGGCTACCCTACTCCAGGAAGCCTCCTCTTATTGTGCCCATGGAGCCTCACAGTCATAACTTCCACTGAGAAACTGGGGCCAAGGAACCCACCCCAGTAAGGCCCTTTTTCCTTGGTTTCTCCATCAGGGTCAAGCCCGTGGCTGATGCTCCTTCAATTCTGACAAAGTCAGCTCTTGCCTTGCTATTCATTCCTATTGTCACTCAGGGCCATGCCACTCCCTGCACTGGGCTTGAGCTTAGGCTTCAGTGGCTCAGGGCCAGTGGCCTGGAGTTAGCTAATTGCTCAGACAGTGCTCTTAGGCTCCCAGTGGTATCCTTGTGTTGCATGGGCCAGCATGGCTGTAGTCTCCCAAAGGGAGGCATAAGGTAAGAGGGAAGAAAGGGCAGCTCGGTCTCCTGTAGCTCAGCCTCACAGGATGACCAGAAGTGAACAAGACAGCAATGGAGAGGAAAGAAAGGAGGGGAAGGAAAGGAGGGGAGGATGGAGGGAGGGAGAGAGAGAGGAAGAACAGAAGGAAGAAAGGAAATCATTTATTCATAAGGCCATAGGGTGGAGACAGAAGGCAGTCACAGGTCGCCAAGCACATCCCAACAGGGACCAGAAAAGACAACCGCGCGCACACACACACGGTCTGGGGCCCACTGCCTTCCTTCCCGAAGCTCCGGACTTGGTGTCCGCATCACGGTTGAGTGGTGGCATGTCCCCAGCGTGGCCTGCCCTGGGCTTCCTGAAAAGCAGCCACAGGTTACAGAGGAAGGGCTGGATCAAGACAGTGGAACACCCACTGAGAACTGGAGTTGGTGGAGATGGGGCAGGGGACAGGGCCGTGGGTGTTAAAGAGTGAGGGTCTCACCCGTGAGAGGCTCAGCTGGCCATGATGTGCTTCACAAATGCTGGAAGGAAAGGGAAAGTGAGAGGCTGGGACTCAGCAAGGGGTGGAGCTGGGCACGTGACCCCTCCCCAGAAGACCCTCCCTTTGCTGAGTCTCCATGGCTGCTCCCTGAAAATCCCCACCCCCACTGAACTGCATACCTTTGCCTCTCTTCCCCAAGAGACTCCCGCCTGCTGAGTTGGGTCATCCCCCTGCCCCCTCCCCAGGAGATCCCCAACCTGCTGCGCCCACCTTCATAGTTGATGCAGCCATTGGAGTCTTCTTGACCAGCCATCAATTTCTCCACCTCATCCTCAGTCAGTCTCTCACCTGGCAGGAGTGGTAGGCTAAGTCACACCACCCAGACATGTGACTGACTGACTCGCCTTATGGATGGCCAGTTTGCTGCAGCAGCATTGCTCCTAAGGTCATGGCCAGCCATCATCCCTGTTTCCAGGGCCAGGACAGCCAATCATAGGTCAAAAAGTACAGGACCTTGAGCCCTCCTCTGAGCCTAGGCATCTTCATGCATATACTGTCCTCTGTCCCTGCCAGAATGACAGGAGTCCCCTGAGTAACCCTGAGGCTGGTAGAAGGTCCATGGAGATTTTGACAGATGACAGTGGAAGGGACAGAGAGACACTCCACACACAGTCTGAAATTTTCTTTTCTTTTCTTTCTTTCTTTCTATTTTTTTGAGTGTGTGTGTTTGTGTGTATGTGTGTGTGTGTGTGTGTGTGTGCATCGGTGTTTTGCTTGCATGTATGTCTGTATGAGGGTGTCAAGAGTCCCCTAGGGTTGCAGACAGTTGTGAGCTGACATGTGGGTGCTGGGAATTGAACCCAGCTCTTCTAGGAGAGCAACTAGTGCTTTTAATCTCTGAGCCATCTCTCCAGCCCTAATTTTTTTTTAATTTTCTTTCTTTCTCTTATTTATTTGAGATATGCTCTCATGTATCACAGGCTAGCCTCAAACTGGCTAAGAGTGACCTTGAATTTCTCCTTCTTCTGCCTCCATCTCCCAGGTGCTGATATTACATGCATGCACCACAGTACTGAGGACCCAACCCAGGGCTTCCTCCTGCTAGGCAGCACATTCTTAGGCAGAGTCAGACAATTTCTGACTGTACTGTACAGCGCTGTTCACTGGTAGAGTACCACCTGTGGTGACGCCCACACGATATACACAACACACGTGCGCACACGCGTGTGCTTCTGTGCGTGTTCGTGTGCGTGCGTGCGTGCGTGCGTGTGTGTGTGTGTGTGTGTGTGTGTGTGTGTGTGTGTGTGTGTGTGTAAACCCTAAGACCAACATATTGAACACAGCAGTTGTGTAATAAATATTTTCTGCATGAAAATGTCACTTTAAGCTGGGCGTTGGTGGCTCACTCCTTTAATCCCAGCACTCGGGAGGCAGAGGCAGGGGGAGTGTTGGGAGTTGAAGGCCAGCCTGA